TTATAAGTAGACCACACCCTTATCCTATCACCCACACCACACCCTTATTCTATCATTAGGCCCTTTAGACTACTATCAAAACCATCACATATGTGATTGAAGGCAGTCGCGTGTTTGGCTGGAGTTCAGGCGCCTCCTTTTGACGTGCTCGTCCTCCATGCGAGCATACTCGATGTACTTTTATGGCAGCCCAAAATACGTGAAGAAAGTGCCATCGGCTAGCGATGGGACCACGGGTCCGCCCACTGGCAACGGCGACGCCTATCATTCATTTTAACTGCTACCTGATAGGACTGTTGTTATGCTACTTCCACTTCGAATGGTGATAGTGAGGTGGTGAGGGGAGAGAGCTGGCACCAACATTCGACATGGCCCTTTCTTCGCCTTAAAACGAACGCCTTGTGAATGTCCTTACGCGATTGAGCATGTGGTTCTAAGGCGATTCAGGCGGGTTTTTGTGCCTGTTTCCTCAATTTGCTGTTATTCATCATCTTATCATAAGCATTTGAACCGCACAGATCACCTTTTTTTAATAGCGGGCCGCGCCTTCGAAAGTGCTATCTCCTCTATGGATAGCACACCGGCTAAAACATTACCCAAGGAACTTCGACGCGGGAAACAAATACCAAGTCAGAATGCTTACCTGCGGTGTCGTTCTCGACGACTGCACGTGTAACCGTTCGCATAATTCGAAGTAACCATCCTTTCGAATGAGCGGAACTTGTGTGTCGGCTACAGAATGACAATCCTCTGTCCAGCCAGAGCACTGAAACACCCAATCACCCACACCTTATCTAAACGGGAGCGCTCTCAATCACTCACCAAAACGTTGTTGGTCACCTTCGCTCTCAGAAATTTGCTTGAATAATATCTCGAAAGCGTCATTCAAGCGATTCCGTGTTTCCATCAGTAGTATGGTTGTATTAGTGCAGTCAGCTGCAGCGGCGAGATTCAAGCAGAAATCCGTACGCGAACCCGTCGGTAACCAGTGTAAGAGCAAATCCTTAACAAAATTTATCCACATATTCGGAAATTATATAGTATAGCAGTTTTCGCTGTAGACGCTGGGGCGTATCAAGGGGACTGGGTTTGGCGCGGCGCCAGCCCGTTCTTCACCAACAATCAAAGTGGACGACGACCAGCTGACTGGGAATAGTCTTTCGTCGCGCCAAATCCTTTCTCCTAACATGTCCCAGTTTCCACATCAAAACGACTGTGACTTCCTTCGTTAATGTTGCTCAGATCCATTCAAATGAGCCCGAAAATTCGATTTCGGCACGAAATCTTGAGGGTTCTGTAGGGGGTAAGAACAGGACAATGAGTCGCAAGTAAAAAGCAAGGGTCTTCGACATGCCATCCTTCCATGGATTTGACTCCCGACAAATGTGCAGCCACCCCTCCTCTCTATTGTTACAAATAATGACTACTGCGCCAACCAGGTGCACATGCCTGAATAAATATAGCATCAAAAATATATATCAAAAGGACGGAAAAACTCCGCTAAAGTGCATTCAGCGTCTATACACAGTTTTGAGCGATCACTGTTGATCTATCTGAACTGAGCTACTAACAACTTTAGGCTTTCGAAGCTTCTTAAGAATTTTGGTATCCCACTGTTTTGTAAGAGCAAGAGCAGTTGTAGTGACCAGTACATAGTGCTCATTACCAGCGCCATCCAGGGTCAAATCCCCAATACGGATCTCATCCGGGTCATCCAAGCATAAAATTCAACCAGAGCCAAGGAACTGCTAAAAGGCTCCTCTGGGAGTATGAGAGCATAGGCTTGTGAATAGCAAGAAGGTCATTCTCCGAGAGACACAGCACAAAATAAGCCACTGAGATTCTGAATGGAAGTAGAATATGTGGCGCACCCTAAAAACATCAACCAACTGCCTGCCACGATGCCCCTCTTTCTACCGTTATGCAACGCTTCCAGATATTAACAAGTCTTCAAGGCAGCGTACTAAGATGCTTGAGCTCTGTTTTTCTACTTCAACGATCCTTCTTCTAGATAGAAGAACTGGTCCATCCACCGCTATCCCCAAGGTACACACTCGATACCAAGGCCCCACAGTGGAACAAACACCCAACTGGAAGTGAAAGGCACAGACAAGTGAGACAAGTGCCGCGTTGGCCATAGGTAAGCGCTTGGATGGCTGTGCGGGAGTGCGGGAGACTA